CCCCTTTTATCCTCTGCTTTGGTTCTTGTGTGGGAGTTTACTTTCGTTATTGTTTGTTAACCGGTGACTCCTCTGTTGTCCTCATCAAGTAGTTTTTTTGTTTATGTTGTTCCAATCTGAAAAGTAATTTAACACTGAAAAACAACCACGCTTATAAATAAAATTGGTAAATGATCTACTACAACAGGATGACTGGGTTGTACGTCTAAAACCCAAATGCTTGCTCATATGATTTCATATTATTAGGATCACTTATTTATGTGCAAAATAAGAAGATGACGTAGGGATGTTTTTTCTAAAACCTTTTCATGCCGTATAGATTTAATTATATCCTGGGTGACAGTCAAAGTGGAGGGTGTGATTGCTGCAGTAACCTGTGGGCTCTTCCGTACACTATACATTAGCTTTGACAATGAAGCATTTGATTCATGTTTAAACTGATGCCTTTGCTGTTAGAGTTTGGTTTTCATGCACCCTAGATAGAGACTTTATAGAGATGTATGATAAGTAGCTGTCCAGGATGAACGTACCGTGAAAAAATCTCCAGATTTTGCTGCAAGTCACTAACTACAGTATCATGTCAGTGATTGATCAAATGTGTGGTGTTGACCTGTGTGTGCGTGTGTGTGTGTGTGTGTGTGTGTGTGTGTGTGTGTGTGTGTTGTAAGTGTCGTTGTGTTGTGGTGCAACTGACTGATAAACACAAGGCAGCAAAAGATTTTTAGTGACACTTGGTAATATGAAGCTTGAATGTTATTTCACTATATTACTTTATTAACCAGACCTCCCAGCATCGACATGCTTGAGAGTTAAAACTCAGAGACTTCTCATAGTTACAGACCGGATGGAGCTGTGTGTCTTTAATACATGTGAAGGTGAATCCATGTTGTTTTCTTTCCATAATATGAAAAACAGTATTTAACAATGATGAGAGCGGTGCAAGTTCTGCATGTGAAACAAAGGACCTAACTCTTCAACCTGAGAGAACCCAAACAGACAACAGGCCACAGAGGTTGTGTTGAAATAGATGTTTAAATTTGAAAGCATTACTAAAGGAGTTCAATCAAATTAATCATAAATTTCAATCAAATAAACAAGACAAAGCTTTACACAACTTAAAGTTTTTTATTAAGCTGAACTAGATTTTTGAGCTCAAAACTCCTACTTAAGCAGTTAAGACATGAATAGACCAAACTAAGACAAAGGTTTACAAGAACAGCTGATATTCATCAAGATAACATGCTGGTCGGTTCAGAAGAAGAAATTGTACGCGTTGACTTAAAACATTTTAAACAGCAGCTTTTTCACTCATATTGTCAAGTTTAACAAGAGTTTACTGTTAATGCAAACAAGCAGCTAGAATACCATATAAGAAAAGAAATGCATCACAAGATCTAGATATGTGAAAGAAAAATCTCCTATTTATTATTAAGCATAGCACTTGAAAAAATAGGCCTATATTACAACACTAAACACTATATTTTGTCAACAATACACAGACCTAAAGCATTTCCAACATTTTTGTGTATGTGTGTTCAATAGACACATATTTGCTGGTGTATTAACATGCAAATGCTCTCAGTGTTGCACAGAGATTACCCCATCATACCACAGGACCATACGGTATTTTGGGGAGAGTAGGCTCCATCATAGCACGTAAAGTGTTATAATGATGTGTGTTCAATGGACACGTCTTTGCTGGCGTGTTGATTGCACTTCCTCCTACTGAAAAACCATGGAAATGCCTGCAGTAAAGAAAAAAGACTAACTTTCTTCCCCTTTCCCGTTCCCATATTTATGCACATTCAATACATGAATCACAACATACAGCAGCATGCTTTTTGATGGTAAAAGTGATAAACATTTGCTTTTTACAAATGAATACCGTGGACTATGACAGACAAGGAAAGGATTTTTTTTATTCAGTATCTTGAGAATGACGACACTATGAGGTGTGGAAAGTTTAATGTGGCAGGTTTTTCGTAGTTTTCGTTTCCACTATTTATATTCAGCATAGCATAAGCAAAAAAGCCTACATAAAAAAATAATATAACATATATAATTAAATTAATATATCATTTGTCTTTGTGAATTGAGCCATGAGTTTTCTGATGAGTGTATTGTCGTGTGGTTGGTGTGCATCATTTCAGGGTAAGTTTTGTCAACTAGTAACAAAATGTGCATGTTCCAGTCTTAGTCAATTGCACAGACAAAGTATTAGCCATCAAGGCAGAAAGGCGATCCAACCATACATAGGGAGCGGTGGTCGGTGTCAGGTACAAGAAATATGAGCCACACCTCGTTTGCTGTGTATGTAATAGCCAAATGGCTCCTCAGTGCGTGCACAGAGCTTAGCCCATTATTACCATAGGACAGGGGTGTCCAAACTACGGCCGCGCGGTCCAGTTTTTATTGGCCCGCAGCAAATACTCTGAAATATACAATATAATTGAATATGGCCCGCACAAGAAGCTTGAGCTCAACTCTGTTGCACTTCTCAGTTTCAACACTAGATGGAGCCAGCCACGGAAACGGTGCTTCTCCACTAAACAAAATTAAGCAAAGAAAAACTTTTACCGCGAGTCACCAGAAATGACAGCACCGAAGAAACGCAAAATAGCAAGTGAGTGTAGAAGATTTCAAACACGGTGGGAAAATGAATATTTCTTGAAAGAAATCAACGGAAAGTGTGTCTGTTTGATTTGCAATGAAGATGTTGCTGTGATTAAAGAGTATAATCTCCGTCGGCACTATGAGACCAAACATCAGAGCTACACATCGTACACTGGTGCCGAACAAACACAGAAAGTCAAGCAAATGGCAGCTAGCCTGCACGCTCAACAACAGCTTTTTTTTCGTGCTAACAAAATACAGGATACAGAATACCACTCTGATGTGCGCTGGCTCAGCTCTGTGCTGTAGCGGTTTTATTCGCTGAGGTCAGAAATCGACCAGTTTTTGAAAGAGAAGGGCCGACCTCTTCATGAACTGAGTGACCCTCTGTGACTGGCACACCTGGCATTTTTAGTTGATCTTACTCATCTGCATACACTGAACAAGAACCTACAATGCAAAGAACAGCTGGTGCCACACCTGTATGCGCACATGAAAGCCTTCTGTGTAAAGCTCCGCCTGTTTGAGACACAACTACGAAGCTTTAATGCTGCACACTTCCCTGCGCTGTCTGAAATCAAGTCTGCTTTTCCAAAGGCCGACCTTTCTGCTAAAAAGGAGAAATATGTGTCTGTGATTGCATCTCTCGTGACAGAATTCAACCAGCGTTTCCAAGATTTTTCTGTCATTGAAAAACAAATCAAGCTGTTCTCGACCCCCTTCCTGGTGGATGCAGAAGAAGTGGAAGAGAGTCTGCAGTTAGAACTGATTGAAATGCAATGTGATGATTCTCTGAAGAGTCAACATCAGCTTCTCTCCCTCCCTGACTTCTATCAGAGTTTGGATAATGCCAAGTTTCCTCTGATGAGACGCCACGCAAAATGAATGATGAGCCTGTTCGGCTCAACATACATATGTGAACAAACATTTTCTCTGTTAAATCAGAACAAAAGCAGACTGAGAACCAGAATGACTGATAGCCATCTCTGTGAAGTCCTTCGTGTCTCAACCACCAAACTTTCTCCTGACATGTCAGCCATCCTTCAATCCAAAGGACAGCATCACTGCTCCCACTGAGTGCAATGTTCTTCACATTATAGGTGAGTTAGAAATACACACGGTATTCATCGGTCAATATCTCACCTCTAGTGTGTGGCCCGGCCCTTTGTTTATTTTTCTGTGTTTGGCCCTCACTAAAAAAACTTTGGACACCCCTGCCATAGGACCATGTGGTATTTTGGGGAGAGTAGGCTCCATCATAGCACGTAGTGTGTTATAATGATGTGTGTTCAATAGACACGTCTTTGCTGGTGTGTTGATTGCACTTCCTCCTACTGAAAAAACATGGAAACCATGGAAATGTCTGCAGTAAAGAAAAAAGACTAACTTTCTTCCCCTTTCTGTTTCACATATTTATGCACATTCAATACATGAATCACAACATACAACAGCATGCTTTTTGATGATAAAAGTGATAAACATTTGCTTTCTACAAATGAATACTGTGGACTATGACGGACAAGGAAAGCACCATATGAATATTTATCTCTCTATAAGTGAAGCGCTATGAAATTAAACTCATTTTTAAATTGTGTAAAATGAAACAAACATGATAGGAAGTAAATATTTTTACTATTTTATTTTATTTTTTTATGTATTTAATGTGCCATGGCATTAATGTTATTTTCATATTGTATTTTGTTTGTACATTGTGTCTCCATTTTCAGTTTTTCATTTGTCTTATTCTACATGTATTAACTACTTTCCTTGTTGCATTATATGTATATTTTTACTTATAATTTTGTTTTTTCTGGGTGTCTATTCTTTGTTAATAGGTTCACCTTTTTGATCTGTTCAAAGATAAACTACTCCCTAGTTTATACCGAACAGTACCAGATAAGGAGCATACATGTGAAGCAAATTCACGTTCATGGATATACAAAACCAGGCCACACAAAGCCCAAACCAGGTTACACAAAGTGCAGAATATGATTTTTCTGTTACAAGTGGGTGATACCGTCCTTTACATGCTCCACCGGGCCATTCTTACTTGGATGCCATCAGGCTGTAACATCTCAGTCAAAGGAAGTGGACTAATTTAATAATTATCGATTTTCATTATTAACACACATGAATATTTCCCTAGGGGATAAATAAAGTAAGTATCTATCTATCTATCAATCTATCAATCTATCTATCTATCTATCTATCTATCTATCTATCTATCTATCTATCTATCTACCTACCTACCTACCTACCTACACAGTGAACACTGAGTGATACAGAACTGCAGTATTCTTAGTGACTGCAAAAGTGAGGTAAAAGGGGCAAACAAATGAATTTCATAGGCACAAATCATAAAGAGAAAAATGATTAATTGTTATTACAGAACTTAAAATAAGATGAGAGAAATACATACAAATATGTCAAAAATGTCAACAACAACTGGCTGATAAAACAATGTAATACAAAACATTTACTCAGACTGGTTACAGGAAACTTTATATTGACAGTTTTTGCATGGAGTTAAGCATAGTTTACAAAATGAGACAGATACAGAAATCATCTTTACAATTCTACTATTTTAGTTTGTTGTGAAAGCAGCTATTAAAGAGCTAAACTTCATTCTGAATCCTGAAAAGCTCAAAACAAAACATGTCTTCTTAATTAACAGCCACGTGGTGTAGCTCTCTCATTCCAGAACTTATTTAGTTACACAATATATTTGTTTATTTAAACAATAAAGTTTATTTATACAATATTAACACATATGGAAGTATGGTTTGCGTTATGCAGCCTGACATATGAATTAGCCATACTTAGACATGCTTGGAGACACAATGTTTATTTTATTTTACCATAACAGCCCAATGACTTACTGCCATCAACATGACCATGTGAAACTGCCAATCAAAAGTTATTCAAAGGTTTAGCCATGATTTTTACTTTTGATCGTATGATCAGATCAAATCCTCCAGCCTCGTCCATTTTTGAAGTTGTATCTGTTTTGTTTTCTAGAAGGCCTACTGTTCTGCAATTTGTCCAAGTTGAAGGCCACCAGAAGGAGAGGCACTGATCAAAGAACCACTGTTGTCCTCATTTTTTGAAGCTTCAAGATCCTGACGTTGGTTCTCTTGAGGGGGTACGTTTCCCTGGGTCTTGTTGCAAGGTTCGATTAACATTAATATAACTGATATTATGGTGATAGAGATCATAGCCCACATTCCAGCTTCCTAAACCGCAACCATAGGTCGAAAAATAAAGAGAGAAAAAGACAAGGGGAATAAAATTTTTATCACAAGTGTTAACAAATTTTGTAGAAATGTGTTATTTTTCACATATGAGGCATCAGGCTGGTGCTTACCTGAGAATGGGCATAGGTTTTCTGGGTGTTGATCAACTCTTGTGATGAGTTGCCGTTGTACGGTGTGCACAATTTCTGTCGAGAAGCATTGTCCACCACTACAAACCTTCCTGACTGGGATGACTTTGCACAGGCAATGTACTGGCCATCCAAAAGCAGGAGGATCCACCACAAAAAGGGGGGAACAAGGCTGGAAAGCACAAGTTTTATCCACTGTTTCCAAGATGTTTTACCCTCACACTTACATCCCTGGATTCTTATCATCAGCACAAAGGCCAGTAAGGCAGGATTAATGAATAATGAAACCACAAGTCGAACATTGCGGTTGGAATCACAAGGACATGCAAACTCCATCTCCAGTAACTTCTCCAAGCCAATGAGGATGAAACCAAAAACAGTATTTGATCCAAGAGGGCTCTTTTCCATTAGACTCCTCAGTCTAGAGCTGATGCTTTTCAGTGACATATTCAATTCTGCATAAATGGAACAATAAAGATATAATCATGAAAATAAAGATTTTCGAGATGCATCAAGTAATATTACAAGTGGTATTGTGAATGTTTTCGTCACCCCCACTGATACTGTCATGAATGAAAAATGAAAATCTATAGAGAGTGTCTGTCAGATTTTGTACACGAATTTTTTTAACTTCTGTTGCCTTGGGAAATTTTTTACAGACTGATCTGACCTGAGAACCATCTCCTGAACAAACAAATATTCACACAACTACCTCCATAAAGCCACTGTTTACTGTAGGTGTAATTGCAGCTTATGAAATTCCATTACGTTTGTTTGCACTATAGAATCAATCAGACATAACTGTCTCTCAGTAGGATAGTGGTTGTTCTAAGTTTCACCTACCTTATGTATTTTTCTCTCTCATAAAATAAGTTTCAACTAAAATACTTGACGTCCTCAGCGACGCTCGTTCTCAGCTGCTCAGTTCAGGGGTATGTGATAGAAAATTGACATCCTGCGAAAACTTGTTCTTGTGACCACACCTTGCTCATGTTTCCTTTTCCTTTGGCATTGTCAGTTCTGCAAATGCTACAATGTACAATGTGTTTACATCAGCAGTTAAAAAAGAGTCCATCTTTTTCCTCAGGAAACCTTTCACAGGAAACCTCTTGAGGAAAAAGATTGACTCTTTAACGTCTGCAGTGAAATGCTGCATGTTTTATCAGTCAGGGATATCCGCTATATTAACGCTGTCACACGCTGTTTTCCTGGTTCCACAGTCCCAGTCATTTTGGACAAATTTCTTAATTTACTGCCCTCACTCCCAAGCTCCATCACAAGAATCGTGCTGCAACGACACATCCCATGGGGAGTCTGAGTGCAGCAAAAATGATTTTAATGTCCTTTTTAATGTTTTAAAGGACTGTGGAAAGTCTGTTTTTCTTTCTGGCCCCATTCCCACCTTTGGTCATGGAGCTGAGCGCTTCAGCCGTATTCTCAGCCTGCACACCGGGCTTCAGTCAGCATGCAGGATTATGACCGAGTCTGTATTATTGGTGATTTTAATATTCATATATGCTGCCCTGGTGATGCACTTTCTTAAAGTCATTTGATTTTGTTTTATGTGAACTTTGACCTCCAAATGTTGTCTATGTTTATAATTGTGTTTGTTTTATACAAAATGAAAATACTAGTCACCATACTTAAGCACCACTTAGCTTAGTATTGAAAGATCATCTATGTGAAACCACTTCCATTTATCAGGTTTCACACAGCTCCCGCTGGAGCCACAAACAGCTTTATACAACTTTTCTCACATGCAGTTGTACTCCCTAATGGCTGTACACAGACTTTGACCCCTTTAAGGAAGGTATTTGCTGTGTGAGCCGTGCATAAAATTACACTCTTGTAGTAAATTAAATATACCCCTGCTAGAGTAAGTGATCCTCAAATTCAAATGCTACGAACCACAAGAAAAAATGTAATCAAGCTGCTTATCAGTACTGTTCACGAAGCAAGATAATTTTCCATAGTTCATAGTTCCTCTCCCATCTTCCCCATCCTCCCCATGTGAAAAATTATTTAAGTTGGCCTCTGGCTGATATCTTATATGTAAATATTACATTTTCATCCTATATTGATCAGATCTTGGTTTACATTTACATTCATTTGAGGTTTCAGTTAAATCTATGTATATGGTTCTATGAACAAATATCCCAAACCAAAAAATACTACAGTTAGTTAGTCTGTCAAAAAAACACAAAAACAAAACAAAAAAAACCAAACAAACAGAATGCTACTCTGTATTGGTGGGATTTGATTTACGTGTTTTAATCTAGACCAGTTGATGTCTTTTGAGTACTATTAAGTCTCCATTTGATTTTAAAATAGTTTTAATTTTACTTCATTTGACTCAGTCAACTCAGGAAACAAGGGTTTGGAAAAATGCTCTATAAATATTAACAGTATTATTCAATAGTAAAGTTTAGGATAATGTTTTTTTAATGGTTTCTGCTCAGATTTCTAAAACTAACATATATGAATTATTTCAGGACATGGGTGCAGCAGTTTTATATGGACTGGTTACATACACTGCTCTGTACAGTTAAACAAACCTGGGCCATTTCACAGTGTGTGCACTGACTTAACACTAGATGGCAATACAAGCGAGACAGGTTATCATGCCGGTGAAGTTGGCTTAAATAAGTTTTAGTTGTTAAGTATATGCTATGTTCTTTAACATGTTGTAAAAATGATATAATGAATCAAGTAGCAGCATCAGTCTTCAGCAAACAGCTCACATCTTGTGGAGGAAATGATTGTTGCAGTAGTTTACATATAGCTTCTGTTGGTCACATCTGTGGGTTCTGTGAAGACAAACATGCTTTAAAGGTGCTATATGTACATTTTCTCTGCTATCAAACATTGTTTCTTGCTGGGAGGGGGTGGTGGTCATGGTGGTGATAATGGTCACTTGCCAAGAGCTTCAGCCATTGTTGCATTTACAAGACAAGAGGTTAGAATACGCCCTCTGAGCAGGGCTACTTCTTCATCCTCTCTGCTGAACTAAGCCCCTGATCAGACCTAGCATTAACCTCCGATGTGAACGCATCCAAGATGCATTGAGGATGCATTTGAGATCCGATCATTCAGACCACATTCAGAGGTGGTCTGGGCCACGTGTGTCCACATTCCATCAGCAGTGTGAACACACACATTGAAGGACAATCACAAGTGGTCAATTGAGACACATGTTAATGCCAGGTCAGAACAGGGCCTAAGGTTAAACTAGATGCTGCAGTGAATAGTAAATGGAAGCAAAAGAAGAGCTGACATTGGCATTGTTTTCCACCACTGGAGACAGCTCCTGGCAAGTAGAGGAATGGATCTTGATACTGAACTCTCAATGTTTCTTCTAGACTAGTGAATAAACGTTAGTTATTTAGCAATAGCAAAAACTTGCATATAGCTCTTTTAAAAAGCTTTAGTGAGAATTAGCAAACAACAACATGGCTGACAGTGTATAGGCTTACTACTTTCTATGTTCTAAGGTTCATGGTAAGATACTGTACATTAGTGGTGGAAGTATTCAGAAGTAAAAATAGAAATACCAACCCATACATTCAGGTCCGCTATTCAACATTTTACTCAAGTAAAAGTACAGACGTATTAGTAGCAAAATGTACTTAAAATGTTAAAATTAAAAGTAGGCCTACTCATTATAGAGACTCTTATGTTAGTAGCTCACCCCAATAACTTACTAGTTTCATTTTGTACATACAAAAATGGCAAAAACAGCCTATGTGAGCACTATCTTTTTGAACTTTGTTGTCTCACAGCCATTTGTTGAATTAGACGGTTTGTATAGGTAGTGAAAAGGAACTCACCAGATAGATAGGCAGTTGAACATATCTGTCATTCACTTATGGATATTCGGACTAAGTGTAATGAGAATTTATTAATTGTATTTTGGCTTATATATTCCTTCATTATTCAATTTACAGTGCTCCCATAACTAATAATAGGCCTGCATTGAAATTAGTAAAATAATTGGTGTGATAGCTGGAATGGACAAAGAATATGGCTGTTAAATAGAACATGTATATGTGGCAGATATTGTGTGTTGTAGATGTGAGCGTGACCTTACCCTAAATTAGTTCAAAGAGAAATAGGATTAAAAGTCTGCTTAAAGCCCATGGAGGAGCTGCTGAGGTCAAGGCTTAGTCAGCCTGAGAAACCGCTTTGACCCACGACACAATTTAAGGCCTGATGAGGGTTTGTTAGGCACTGAATACTCTATATTTGGAGGATCCTTTAGCAACACCTGAGAAATACCTCTCTGATTGGTTGACAGGTGTGCCGTGAAAAAAAATCACTGTGCTATTCAAATTGCAGGTAACCACAGTAACAGGATTTACTTTACATTAATTCAGTAACTTCAGGGGAAACTAGTTTGACCATGGTTGTGCTACAAACAATTTTAACAAAGTTATTCGCTGGTGAATGACTTTAGTAAAAACTAATTGCGTCCATTGGTCCATTGTTTCAATGTAATTGATTTCTGCTCCACTTTATGATTGGACGTTGTGTGAAGTGCCTGCTTGTCTCCGCGCTCCTCCAAGATCTCGCGGGATTTGGGATTAAACGGGTGGTTAAAACAAAGGTGGTTCCTTCGCTGCACCGGGCTGACAGTACGGCGCTGCTCAGGTAGCCAGCAGTAGTACTGTAGGCTCCCGCTAGTCTACCTAGCGACAATTTCCCCTCTCTCTCTCCCTCTCTCTCTCTCTCCCTCTCTGCGTGACACGGCTGGAGTGTGTGGAGGTGCGTGCTTCGGACGAATCCACCCCGCATCATCACCATATCCCGCTCTGGTCATCTTAGGGCTCGCCTACCGGCATTTTCCGTGTCCCGTCTCCGAAGATGATACCTGGCAAACGAAGAGCTGCAGTCATGTCCTTCTCGGTGGCGATACTTGGAGCGCTGATGCTGCAGTCCGTCTCTTCCCAGAACGGTAGGAAACGAGATCTTCCTATAGAAAATACATGACAGTAATCCCTCATCATGGCGAAATGCGGTTTTCAGGGAGGGAAGTCGCCTGCATTTTTGACATTGGGACATTTTTAATGAATCATTACGAGACGTCTTTGCCATTAAGAAGGCTGTCCAACACGAATATCTTTCCTGCAGCCAAGTCTCAGTAGATAATCCCTTAACGCTACACTAAAAGAAACGGATACCAGTCGAAGGAAGCGCTCTATTTTCTCTATTGCTAACCGAGCGTTTGAGATGATGAGTCAATAAATCATTAATGGGATACAATCTGTGTTCGTTAGGCTGAAGTGGGCCACACGGAGGCCTGTGCGATGTCCCTAAAATGTCCTTTTGAAGTGTGGAGCTGAATACAGAGTCGCAACATGAGTCGTTCAGTCAGGACAAGTTCTACTCATTAGATTGGGAGAATTAGAAAAGGTGGATGGGGAAATGGTGTCACACTGAAGTTCAAAATCTGTCCTGCTTTCCTATAAGAGATGAGCACACACTGAGACACACCATCAACATGCTGTCACGCTTGGGTCTGCTCAGATATGCAAGGATACAGCTCAGTGGATCAGTAACTCCTCTCCTGCAGGGTGGGATAATTTCCCTGCATCAGTCCAGGTCTTCCTAACAGAGAAAAACATGTATGTAATTAGACGTAGGACCTTGGAAGTGCAGCTCTTTAAATAGTATCAGTCCATTTTGCTGCATACTTCTATTTTTAGAGCCGAGATGCTGCACTGGGAACCATGGCTTTAATGTCCTCTTGCAACAGTGAATCTGTTAACTCTTCGTGGAGATGTACTGCACTGCAGAGTGGCATTGATTTCTCAGAACACTCCTACTTGTCCAAATGACCCAGTGCTAATAAATCTCATCCCCATCAAACAGATCAGGGGCAGTGCAATCTCAGCTGAGTATTTGTAGCTGTATGTGTGGAGTGTTGCCTGTGTCCCTTTTGCAAGCGCTGTGTTGAGAATGAGTGAGAATTTATTCAGCTCTGGCCTTCCTTGGAGTTCAACATGTGTAGGAATGCACCACACATCTCCCCCTATTCTGCACACCCACTCCTAACATCTCTTCATCAATCAGTGCTACAGCAGATAAAGCTCAGAGCCAGTTAAATGTAATGGCTTTTTATCTGACAGAAACCTTGAAGGTGTGATCTTCTCTTGTCTTCTTCAGTGGTTTCAAGAGAGTCTAGAGAGACTTGATGGTTGAGAGAACGTCATAGTGTACTATATATATATATATATGTGTATTATACCATTACTGTATTTAATTTCGTTCTATGTAATTCTTTGTCCAGCTGAGTCTCGTCATGCCAGATATTAATATACACAGTTGCCAAGCACATCATAGAAGCCATTTGTATCTGCAAATGGTGTTTCATCTTTTAGGCTACTGAAGATTCCTCTAAGGATGTGACTTTCATCCAAGGCTGAGCGATATGCAAAAAAAAAAAAAAAGAATCATATTGCAATTATTTTCTCAGATATTTCAATTGCGCTGAGTCATGATTATAATTTTTGCATTTCATTTTCACTGAAAAAATATAAAAATTATGACAATTAGATTTTTGCTTGAATCTGTACCAAAGCCAAAAAGTCCCTTCCATGTGGAGAACATGATATGTAAGGCAAGCAATCTCTGTTGCACCACAGCGCCTCATTTATTATGGTATGTCGTGACACATTTTACCTTTTTATCAAAAAATTGCAGCTGCTGCGATTTGGATCCTGCATTTGGCCTTATTAGGATTTTGATAATATTTGGATTGTTCATACTTTCATCTAAATGTGGACTGGCTGTTACCAAGGAAGCTGTTTAATAGAATCATTCAAACCATTTCTCTGTAGTTTCTCATACACAAGCCACCAAAACAGCAAAGAGCTATGGTCTCAGTTAATGAGCTCAAACAGTGAATTTTGTTATTTTAGTGACGAAGAGAGTGCAGTGAAGGTTTGGGAATTATCCGTTTGAATTCATATTAATGTATGAGTGGACATGTCGAGCCGCTATAGCTATAGTGCAGTTATCCTGAAAAATAACCAGATGGACAAATTATTCTCTGTTAGATCTGCAGACAGGAGCTGAGGCTACTTCAGTTTTCAATTTAAAACCTAAAATGATATTCAGTCGCAGAGAATGTGAATATATTGTGAAATCAGTTCCAGATTAAACTTGATTAGTTCAGCATACGAGGCTGTAGATTTGTCAGCAATGGGAAAAGTACAAATAAAGGTTTTAGAATGTAGTCTGATATTAGTGGATTAACTGAAAAGTGTATTGCAAATTTTAAAAACAAATGTCAGTTATATTCATTATTGATAAATCTGATGATTAGTTTATTATTTTGTCTATTTAGTGTTTGCTCAACACATACACAGCTTTAAAAAAAAAAAAAAAAAAAAAAAAAAAAAGGCCCATTACAATTCCCTAAAGCCCAAGGTGACATCTTCATGTTGATTTTATTTTTTTTTAAGTGAGTGAAAAACCCACAGATATGCAGTTTAGCCACACAAGACAAAGAAAAGCACAAAACCCTTACAAGCGTGAGGCTGGAACAACTGCAGTCTTGGCAGTTTTGCTTGAAAAATGAAATATTGAATTGATTCTCAACACAGACGACAGACTAGTTGATTAATTGAGTAATTGTTTCAGCTCTGATTTACAGTTCTGCCACATTAAACATCAATTACATTCCTACTGTTATAAAAGTAGTGACTTTCTCAGGTCAATTAGAAACGCAGTATCATTTTTTAATTCAATTCATGAGGCCATTTTTTAAAGCACATAAGGACTAAAGTGCATCAAAGTACATACATGGACATATGTAGCCTCTGTCCCTATTCCCCTCTGGTCTCCAGTTATCCATCAGGACTCACTAACTAATGTTTCTAATAGAATATTCATATAACATCCAGTTAGCTACTCATTATGTGTTGCAACAGTCTTGGTACATTAACTGGGACTGTGGCGAGAACTACTTCATCTTACACTGGTTTAAATGGATTCTTCACAATATACAGAGAAAACATCTGCAAGGAAAGACTCATGATTGTTCGAGGGCATCTTTTGTCAGGTTGTGCAGTTTGACTAATGAGCCAGAAATTAGCGTCCATTTAAATCCCAAGTTATTCTATTAAAAAATGGAGTGATAAGGTTAATAACTTCAAGTTTTATTTTCTGATTTAAGCACCACATTAACCTCTTTCTCAGTCTTCAGTCGCTAGGCGCTGACAGAATGTGGCGGAAAAAGGCAGATTCTGATTGGTCCTCTCTGAAACATCCAAGTGCCTGATTGGAGAGAAGCACTACACATACAACCTATATATGATGATACAGTGACACAGTCTTTTTTCTCCAGAGCTTTCTATTTTGCTAAACACAGTATGTGACTCTCAAAGGCTTTTACATAAAAATAACACTACGCCATAAAGCCACCCAACAATTGTTAGAGCTGAAACAATTAGTCTATTAATCAATTATTCTATTAATCAATTAGTCGATAGGCAGAAAGTTAATCGCAGCTATTTTGATAATTGTTAATTGCTTTTTTTTCAAGCTCAATCTCCAGCTACTGTCTGGTTTCAGATTCTCCAGTGTGAGGATTTGTTGCTTGTGTCTGTTCTTGTATCATTGTGAACAGAATACTTTCATGGCTATTGAATGTTGGTCGGACAAAACAAGAAATTCAAAGTCTCTTTGGGATCTGAGAAATAGTTATGTGCACATCTCATTTTCTCATATTTTTATAGACCAAACAGTTGATAGATTATAAACAAATACACAACACAAATCTACAGGAGACAGTTGGTTTGGTTTTATTTGAATACACATAACACACCATTGCCCATATTCACCAACCATTAAATAAGCAAAATTCAAATGTGGATATAGAAGAAATTGAAAAATAAATGAAATAAAAACTAGCTTTACAGACATTTTAAGTAATTCGAAACAAACTGGAAATAAAAAGATTGAATAAATGAGAATGAGACCATGTATTTGGAGGCAATATTAAAAAAAAAAAAAAAAAAAAGACAAGGTAGACAAATCTAAAAATGATAAACATCATATGGCAGTAGAGAGTAGCAGGTTTTTCGGTGCCCAGCTTTGGGGCATTCATGGAAAAACAAATCAAGGGATTGATTGATAATAAAAATAACAGGTAGTTGCCCTAAAATAAAACGTCGTTGGCTGGGACAAAAGAAGCAAGCTTAAGATATCGCAATGAGCATTACTCATTATTCTTTTGACATTTTGGAGACAATTAATAATAATAATAATATTAATGAAGAAAGATTAGATGACTTGATAAAGAACATAATTGTTATTTGCTCCAGTCACTTTCAAAGATTAAGAATAATTAGAAAGATAAGATTAAGAAAAATTCAACTGAATCAGAATAATCTCAGTGATCATGAAACAAAAATGAAAAAGTCAAATGCTGCCTTATGGTTCTAAGTAGAGCAGTAATGATTAGTTGATTATTGATTAGGCAATTAATCAAGAAAATTGATCTGTAAATATTCTAATGGCTCCAGCCTCTTAAATGTGAGACTTTGCTGCTTTTCTTACATTATAGTAAACTGAATATTTTGAGGTTTTGGAACAAAAATGAATCGATTAATCAAGAAAAGAATTAACAGATTAATCACCAATGTTAATAATCATTAGTTGCAGCCCTAGTTCTGAAATCACACACTCATGAGACACTCATGTAACCACATACCGAGACTAAACTAACATCAGCTTGACGTGACTGACGTCATTCAGACGTGTAGCTACAGTACAGTGGTGAGCAGGGACAGTGTTGGTGGCTCAGCACTTTTGACACATCCAGACGATCTGAGGTGGCAGGATTTGTGTCTCAGCAGTTCCATGTTCAGAGCGGAGGTGTTCAGCGCCAGCCATGTTATTTACTGGTACTTGTATAGGCAAGAATCAATGCAGGGCTTGATGAACCAGTCGTGGGCTGCACAGCGAGGTTATGATATCAGCTGGGGAAAAAAAAAAAGAAAAGTGATTGTCTGTCTTGTGATGATCTGCCTGGTCTGGTTGGCTGCCTCTTCCTCTTCCTACTTTGTTGCCGTAGAGTGCTTCTATGGAAACGGAGGGGGTCTATCACAATGCGCCCACACGCTCCCCAGAGACCCAGAACTGCAGCTTCTATAAATCTCCTCTCAATCTCATGTGTTCTTTCCACGGTTTCCTATAGAACATAATTATGACTACAGCCTCCCTCCTCCTCCTCCTCCTCCTCCTCTCTTTGACCAGCCGTGATCAATTGTTTCACTGTTACTGTGTTTGCCTCTGAGGGGGAGACGTATCAATCCAGTATTAACAGTGCAGTTTGCCTGGTGTCTGTGTGCCCGTTATTGAATAATGAAATGAAGAAGCTTTTCTGAGCACGAATGATCATCGTACAGACAACATGTACTGAAATGAATGACAAGGTCACTTGGAGGACTTTTGGATGTGAGCGCTGTGTGGGCCAGGCACAAAATCATATGACGTCATTAATTGGACAAAACCAAGTGAGAGCAGCCTTGCAGGGACGTCCCAGCAGGACTGAGTTAAAGCTTCCCAGGAATAGCAGTGGTAATGGCTTCTCCCTCCCTCCCTTGGCTACCCAAAATATTGATATGACCCCTGCTGACAGTTTGATGTCTGAGTTATTGTGCATTACAGCTGAGCCAATTATGAGATTAATTAATGCAGCAACATTTGATAATTGGTGATTGATTCATGGTTTGATATTTTTTATGCTAAAGATACCTCCAATTTCTTTGTTCTTCTTCTTTTTTTTTAATATTTGCCTTTTTGTCTTAGTCTGCGATAGGTTTCCTGGTCAGTTTGAATTAGAGCAGTAACTATTAGTCAATGAATCGATTAGCTGATGGACAGAAAACAATATTTTATATACTCTAATCATTTTGTTTTCAATCAGAAAAGCCAAATATTATCCAGTTTAAGCTTCTTAAATCCTCACAGTGGGCTTATGTTCTAGACTGTTCTAACAATTGACTGAGAAAATGATTAGCAGACTGATCGATTGATCGAAAACGATTGTCAGTTGTAATTTCAATATGTCAAAATGGGCTCAGGAAAATTGTGATGGACATTTTATAGACCAAATAATTATTTGATTAATTGAAATAAGCAGCAGAATAATTGATGAAGAAAACAATCATCAGTTGAAGCCTTTAATAAATAAACTTATTTGTTAAATATTTTTCTTAATTTTTCTATTTTAAAATGTAATTTGTGTGTCAGTGTTCTTTATTATTTCACATGATCTGTTTTTTTTCTTTCCTTTTCTCGTTCCCTTTTAATTTACCCTGTTGTTTTCTTGCCTTTCCATCCTACACCTGTTTTCCTTTCTTTGGGCTTTGTCTCTGGACACGCTTCCCCTGTAAACCTCCACCAGCGGGCTTTGTGAAGTCACCTCTTTCTGAGACTAAGCTCACAGGCGACACCTTTGAGCTGTACTGTGATGTGGTGGGAAACCCCACCCCAGAGATCCAGTGGTGGTACTCTGAGATCAACCGAGCCGATTCCTTCAGGCAACTGTGGGACGGCGCCCGTAAGCGGCGGGTGTCCATCAGCACGGCCTACGGCACCAACGCCGTGAGCGTGTTGGGTGTCTCTCGTCTCACGCTGGACGATGCCGGGACCTACGAGTGCAGAGCCAGCAATGACCCCCGACGTAACGACCTGCACCAAAATCCAGCCACCACCTGGATCCGTGCTCAGGCCACTATAACGGTGCTGCAGAGTGAGTGGTCAGTGTAGAGGAAACATGCCCTCCATAGTTAGCAGCCAAATTTAACAGTTCCTGTGTGATTCAGCCTCCCTCAAACCTCCCCAGAGGACTGCTAGCTTCCTCCGTAGGTGCCATCCTCCCCTACAGACCCGGAAAATGAAGAAAAACACCATCAACTCGTCCTCATGTTATCTTTTCCGAGCAGAGTTGAGTAGTATTTCACGTTGTACTCTTCCCTTAGATCAGTACATCCTTCAGCCTGTAGAGCCCAGTTTTCCTTCATTTCCTTTCTACTTTACTTTTCTCTCCCTTCAGCTTTCATCATTTCATTTCAAATTCATATTCAATTTCAGTTTTTCTCATGATTATTAATTTTTGTTGTATATCTGCTTGATCTGTTTTTAAAGTGTTGAAGTGTGCAGACTTTACTACACTTACACACACAAAGCTGTCCAATATTTGGTGTGACCTTGATCAAAGTCACAAGTTTTATTTCAACAGTTGTAGTGCATCTTATTTCTGACTCTTATGAGTAATAACATTGGTTTGTTGCTTTCCCACTTGGAGCAAATAATCAATGTGTTATACTTTTCTCAAGTACAATTCTTGTGGTCCAGGTGCGTCTTTCCTCACAAATTATAATGCACCAGAATCTTTACTGTTACAGAACAAAATGTTTATTTATCAATATATAAGTATAAATGCCTATTCATTCATCAGGTACTTCCAGATTTACACTAGCAATTAGACAAATTTAAACGTTTTCATGCAGTCAGTGTTGTTTGGGTTTAGACAACGTTCACCAGCTGTGAGTTTTGATATGATTGAAGGGACATGACAATAAAACCGTACTGAGCTGTACAGTATATACAGTATGTGCTGATCAAAATGAGTGTTTCATGGTGTGAATGCTCAGATTGAGAGGTTCACTGGTGTCTACATGTCCAAATACAAACTCTCCAATTCAGGTCATTATTGCTTAAAAGCTCATCCAAGCAAGGATTTTCTACAGGTTGCATTTCAGCTACATACAAGTACATGTAATTAAAGAGTTAGTTTTTTCTAAGGAATTCCTTTAGAGCTGCTTAAAGTTAGTGCTAGATAATAAGAGGACCATTGGGTGGATCTTGATGTAGAGTCAGCTTTACTGTCTGCTAACACGAGTACCTCTTTCATAAAAGCTGAATCAAGCTTAGCTCCACAATTAAATTCCTCATGATATCAGCCTCAGCAGGAATGTGCTTCATGAAAAGGTTTAAAAAAAAAAAAAAAAAAAAAAAAAAAAAACCCTGATAAGGTAAGAATACTGTAGGTTTACATCATGGCCATCAGCTTTAATCATTTCAGCTTTTCTAAAAGCTTCTAGCTGAGACCACAGAGTTTCAAAAATGCATCCGAAACTGAACTGTGACACTAATTGAAATATTTTTTGTGAAGTACTCATTATTAGCACATAAAAGAAATTTAATTGGAGGCTTCTTACTGAAATGCACCTTGGGAGTTGTAATTGACTTATCAACTTTTTTTTATTTTATTTTTTTTTACATACACACTCAGAGAACCAGATATTTGCTAACGCAGCTGGTCATGTGTTGTATGCATAACTCAGCCGAGAGAGTTTCACGTCCATCTGAGTCGACACAGAAAATGAGTGGATTTCTTTTTTAGGAACACTGGATTCCTCCCACTTTGCCACTCTATTCCTGTTCTGTATTGTATAAAGTGTGGATGGCTGTGGTGTCTGTCTGAACCCTCTGTGTGTTGTTGTTTATATCTTCCAAAACGTCGTAGCTGACCTGGGTCTCTTTTACAGAGCCGTCGATCACCGCCTCTGAACACAACACACTTCCTGTGGAAGGTGACGCTCTCACGCTGCAGTGCAACCTGACCAGCGCCCACAGTGCTCACGAGGAGAGCTACTGGATGAAGAATGGGGAGGAGATCCCAGAAACACGCAGCTCAAATAGGAACACTGAGTACAGGTATGCAACTTGTGTGTGTGTGCATGTGTAGTAAACACAGGGTTTAGCAGCCTGGTGTGGGTTCATGTGAGGTGTTTTTATGCTCTGCAGGCTGAACAAACCAAGGGGAGACGACGCTGGAGTGTACATGTGTGTCTACACCTTTCAGATGGCTCCTCCAGCCAACGCCACCATCGAAATTAAATGTAGGTGTTGATTTGTGAGCTACAGGCGTCTTTGTGAGTTTCAAGGCCACATTAGGAGATGTCACCAGTAAAAATGGCCAGAGTGGCCTTGAGCAGTAGCAGCCCTGTCATGTGAGGACCTGTGATTTCAAGCGGCTCTGCTGGCTGCTCAGGGGCAGCCAGCGCCCTTGACACCTCCATCTAACCAATGCCCGGCTCAGTGGCAGCAGATGGTGTCTTGTTTGTCTGATGGCAAGGGATTATGTCTCAACAGTAAAATCTGGTCAGCCTTTTCTGCTGCCCCCCATGCATTACTATACAGGCAAATTGGATTTTAGGACAGTTTGCTTTTATTTTATGGAGAATTTCTCTTCATTCAGGCAGAAAGATTCACAAGCAGGCAGATTAATAACATACAGAATACACAGAAAAATACAGGTAGCTTAATGTCACTTTGGATCACATGTTCAATGAAATGTGGTGAATGAAATTTGTGATGTTCAGATTTCACTTTTGTTCACACAGACGTTAGTCAGGTTTCTTAATGTATATTCTCCTGATAATAAATGAGTTGAAAAGGTGGACTAGTAAATATATACGTATAAAACATAGATGCAGTAGATAAAAGCCATAAATTTTCAACCCATTTATCGTTTCATGCAGCTCTCATGACTATATTTACATTTCGTAAAGGCTGCACTCACAGCAGACTTGGATTGTTTTTGTGAATTACTTCTTATTATAACAAAGAATCCTTGATATTTTCTTTGTTGTAGCTGCTCCTGAGATTACAGGCCACAAGCGTAGTGAGAATAAGAACGAGGGCCAGCGTGCTGTACTCTACTGCAAGTCTGTGGGCTACCCTCATCCTGTCTGGACCTGGCGGAAATTTGAGAACGGCGTTTTCAGGGTATGTTACATGAATATACATTATATTAATGTTAATTTATTCATTTCCTTAAATTTCCAAAAATGTTAAATTGTGAAATTCATAAATGCTGTAGTTTGTTTCATTGGGATGCATTTAAAACCTGAACCAGCAAAACTGAAAACTTACTATCAGAAGGCTCTGAGCCTTTCTTCTGATTGGCTGTTTTTTTGCATAATCTAAGAAAAATATAGCAGATTTCAGGTTAACACTCAGAGGAACCAAATCCTGCAAGGATGGATGTTGGGTCCAGGTGGGCGGGGCTTGGTGACTGCTTTGTTGTGACACCACAAAGTTACAGAAGTCCTGACTGCTTGTCTTTAGGCTCAGTTTCTGAATACAGGCTGTGTGCCTTTCTCCGTGGACTGAGGCTTTGATACTTTCACAGTATAAATATAGAACCGAGACCTGCTTTATAATCAAAGAAGACATGGAAATCTCACTTTATGCAATATGAGACCTTTCATTTAATTTGATTTATTTATTTATTTATTTGAAAAGGACAGTGCACATTAATGAACCTTTCTGTAAATGTGCCAGTGTTAGCCAACCGGCTAATTTTCAACTGCAGTCCTCTGGCAGGATGTCTAAAAACCACATATTGACCAGATGTTCATCAGTCAGATTAATAAATAACACATATTAAAAAGATACATAAAACAGATATAAAAACAACATATATCAAACAACAACAAGTTAGCATAATACCATTTAAGAGTGTTCACATGTCTGACCGCTTAAGAGCCAGTCCTTAACATTGTGGCTAAATTTAAAATAGGAAGTGCAATTTCTTAGCTCTGCTGGCAATGTGTTCCATAACGTAGAGGCTCTCACAGAGAAACATAACTTTAAGTATCTGACGCTTACAGAGGAGCAGTGTGAAATGTTGATTATGGGTTAACCTCATGATCGAAACTAAACCAATAAAAGCATCTGTGTCCTTGTCCCTTGTTAGGAAATTGACAATTCAACTGGACGCTTCTTCATCAGCAGCAGAGACAACTACACTGAGCTCCACATCATCAACCTGGACATTAGTTTAGATCCAGGCGAGTACCACTGCAATGCCACCAACATGATCAGCAGCCGTGACGAGAAGTCTGTGCTGAGGGTTCGCAGCCACTTGGCCCCCTTATGGCCTCTCCTGGGGGTTTTGGCCGAGATCATCATCCTGGTCATCATCATCGTTGTTTATGAGAAGCGTAAGAAGCCAGAGGATTTACAAGACGGTGAGTCACCGGAGATGGTGCTTCGGATTGTTTTATTATTCCACTGTTGTTAATATATCTGAACAGACACGGGTTTTATTGTGTCGTTTTGACATAGATCTCTCCTGTGAATTCTTTCTGCATCCAAAAACTGCATCCCACACAGAGTGAATGTTGGGCGATGAGGCACACTTTCTTTTCTGTGTATGCTTAAGTCATTCCTTCGCCAGAGACACCGACAGAGTCACCTGACTCTGCATTGTGCCTGCATTCAATAATTCAGTCTGGCAAGGTTGACCCAATAGGTAGACACTGTTGCAGGAGGTCACAGCTTGTCAGGACAATTTCAACCATTTAATATTCATGAGAAATATGATACTGCAGTGTTGCGGAGGTGGACAGTTTAAATTATTAACAGCTTTCCAGGGACCTTGTGCTGTCCCCAAGCTCCTGCAAGCAAGACATCGTTTACCAACACGACCTGCGTGTGCCATCCTGGAATTTTTTAATACTACTGAGTACTTCATTTTCAAGAGACTAGCTATATCATAAATTATGCATTAATGGTATTTGGGTGACCTTTTCCTCTCAAACAGAATTTTGATATTGTCACATGCTGATTGGGCACAACGTGCAGTGAATAACTGACGGCTCTCAGTGACTCTCTGACAGTCACTGCACAGGAATATATTGCCGCTATGGCTCATTGAAATGGACTGCTGTAGAATTCCTAGTGTTTAAGCCACATTGAGAATCATAGCCTCACAAAATGTATGTAGATTGCGCGAATCATGCATCAGAATTCATCTGGAATTATTAATAATTCATATTTTACTTGCATTTCTTTAAATGAGGGTTAGCTTTGGCTGTTGAATACTTTAACAGATTGTTGTAATATCTCCCACCCTCCACTTCTTCCAAATTGCATAACCTAAACCATGCTTGTGGTAAGTGTGAGATTTTGCATGCCATCGTGAATTTCAATAAGCATTCAGCCTCATCTCGTTCCAGTTCACAGCACACAGTTCTGTTTAGCTTCCTCTACCTTCACCATTAGTGTTAAGTGCAGTTTGAATATTTCAGTTTTAAATATTTGACTTTTGCAAACGGTGACTTCATAATTTTTGCATCAAACTTAATAATTAGCACAGCAGTGAAATGGCATGCGAGTCACAGTAAAGAATAGAAACTATTTTGTGTGTTACACTGCTTTGAAGAATTATCACCTACAGTAGAGGACTGATATTGATGGTTCTCACTGATCTCTTTGAGTGTACAGATGTTCTTTGTGGGCGCTGCTTGTCTATGCATGACAACAGTATTTTATTTTTTTATCTTTTTCTTTTATTTGAATTTTGCCTGTGTGTAATTGTTCTCTCTTGCACATGCGTTTCACTGCAGCATTGTGCTGGATTTAAACAGCATTCTGTGTGTTCGTGAATGACCTCATTTTCCTGCAGCATGTCAGCGTATTGTTTACTATATTGTTACTTCATCTCGGTCGTGCTCATTCCATTATAAAGTCTGCACGTACAGCTCAGCTGAAACATAGAAATCTTCAAAAGCCTCAGGACTAAATGCAATGTGTGTTAATCTCAGCTGCTGTTGCATCTTTCTGTTTAAAAAAAACCCAAACAAAACAAAAACACATTTCACTTCATCAACGTGTACAACTTCCTTGCGATTATTATATCTTGATTTTCATTTCTCCATATTTTCCCTTGTTGCCTCAGATGATGACCCAGCTGGACCAGTGTAAGTACAAACCTTTTACCTTCACTTCATGTTATGTGTTCAGCCTGGTACAGTAATGTGTGTTTTGTCGTAGCTTAGCATCATGTATCTCCTCCTGACTGTCTGTAGAGCTCAGTGCACAGTACACCCCGAATCTGGGTCACAGATAACTTGGAGCATCATGTGATGCTGCTTTGCTGCTTTCAGATAAAACACAGGAAAATATATTTAATGTCAGTCAAGGACACTTTCGCTGTCACTGACAAGTTATCATTTGAATTGTCCTGCTTAGGAAATGCAATGATGCCAAAGTGTTTCCCTTAAAAGAAGGAAATAATGACAATTGTTCAGAAGTATAACTGGACCCAGGTCTGGTATGCTCCACCACTGTGAAAAGTAGAATGTGTTTTCATGTTATCAGCTATTTGTTGTACACTACAGCTGAAGTCTGCCACAAAACACACTCTACAAGTGTTTTCACGGGCTGAGTAGGACTAACTGTGTAAAATCAGTGGAGTGCCACTTTAAACTGAATTAGTATAATGTCAGGCTTTATGCAAAATTCCCATCAGGAGCTGGCACAGCCCAAAAATGTATTCCAATCAACAACCATTAGTATCTCATTTATAATGAGGTGAAGCAGAGAAAAGCAAACTCTTTGTGTTATATGATTAAGCAGTTTTTAGAACTGGAATCAAACCATGTTTTATAGTCACTGTTAAGCACTGGTATACACATTTTCATTTGAGTCGTGACCTGATTGTGTCATTTCCCTTTCTGCCAAAGGAAAACCAATTCGACCAACAACCACAAAGACAAGAACCTCCGCCAGAGGAATACAAACTGAGCAGCCTGTCTGCTGAGTAAGTATTCAATTATTAAGAGGAAGATAAATATGTATCACCAGCCTGTGGCCAGAAATCACAAGATGATCCACTAAATGAAATTATCACAGAAAGCTCTTGTGAACCAAAGTAAGACTAATGTCAGACTGGCTAATGAGTTGGATTTTTTTTTTTTTTATTTGCAGGTTTCATTACACAAGTATTGACCATATGAAGGTAAACAGGAAGGGAATCCATACCAGTTGTTAATAGGACGTATCTGCCATTGAAAGTATGGTTGTGGAGAAGTTAAATGAGGCATGCCTTATGATTTTGTTGTGTGAGGGTGCGAGGTCAGGAGGTAATCAAAGCATTATGGAATTGTTAACATTATAACCATTGTTGCTGCATGCTGTTGTTGACGTTTATGATTTTTCCCTCTTATCCACTAATTTTACATTTTTAATACTTCTAAAGAAATGCATGCAAGATGCTGACCTTCTGTTTGATACAGAAATGGCTTTTTTTGTTCTTTTTCTCTGAGAGTGGCTTCATGTAGATAATGCGTACTGTGTGATCTAGAGGAAAAACAAAACTCGGCAATGTAAAAGAAACTACCACCATAATCTGGTATGACAGTTGTGTACAGTTTTATCATTCCACTGCATACCATTTTCTAAGTTTTATCATTTTATCAGACGATTTATATTACATTTTAAGGGCTTTGCAATGTCCCTCTAAATTTGGTTAAGGTTTACTTTACTGTATGTACTGTATGTATTAAATCACTATAACTATGTATCAGATCACAGTTAATATAAAGACTATTCATATTATATGATGCACTTAAATGTTGAGAATAATGAAAAACTGTATAAACCTACTTTAGGAAATCTGTACTAATCATTCTAACATATTGTTTTATAATTATGTGTATTGTACAGCATGGCTATTATCCTATGCAATTATTACCCATATCAATATATTGAAAATCATTGCAGCTTTTCATTTCTCTGTGACAAAACTTTAGACTAGTAGGATCACCATAGGGCGTTGATGGCATACTACACAGCTGCATGAATTCTCTACAGCTGACGTGGGAGGTGGAGAAAGAAGGCCCACGTCAGGACTGACACATGTGACGCAATTCCAAGATCCCGAGTCATTTTTAAGAATAAATAATCTGGAAAAAGAAAATTTGTCTGTTGAGTCAGTTTCTTTAGAAAACAGACAAGACATTCAGTCGCACCATTCATGACGCACACAGGCCGTTCCATGGGAATGCAGAGAAATAAAAGCACGTGGAGAACAGCACCATCTAGTGAGAGTGCGAGTGACTCACGGCACTCACATTGCACATGGTGAAGAAGAAGAAAACCCAGAATTTTAATCAGTGATTTGTTACAAATAGAGGAAGTTCTGCTAACTTGTGTTTGACGGATTCAAGTTTAGATGGTTAAATTTCAGAGCTAATAATCATGAGATCAGTTGACAAAATGTCCAGTGGATTACCTTAACTCATCGGTTTAAGTTATTTAAGAAACATAGACACATCACAACATGCATTGCATTGTGGTTGAAATTCCCCAAAAATACTTTGTTTTCAAATTTTTTAAAAACGGTACACAATATAATGCTGTATGTCGTTTTATGACTGTGTCTCTGAGGTGTTGGGTCTCTCCTCTCTGTTGCAAACTTTGGTGAAGACGGGTACAGTATGTGAATCAGACACTACTCATATGGGTGACATTGGAGAGCAGCGTCCCTGAGCTGAAACTGTTATGACTGATAAAGATGCAGCTTGACACAATAAGTGATTACAGAAAAGGAAAAAAAAATCATGCCCATTTATAAACTGAAAATGCCAGGTGGGTTTAACATACTGATTTAACTGAAGTTACAGAACAGAAGTCAAAGTTCTAAGTTAAACTCAAAGCTTAGACTTAAGAAATTAAGTTAAGTATCCAACTCAAAGTTTCTCAGGTTTTCTCAAGTTTGTCTATTTTGTGGTGTAGACATACAAAAGTTTCTTTCCTCTGCACATAGAGTCACATTGTTTCGTTGTTTGTGATGTTCAAGCTCCAGCATCCTTCGATGTGAAAAGATGGAGAAAAAAAAGTGGACAGGATTATAGATGAGTGGAGTTGGAATCGTTTCCTACATTCATTAAAGGCTATACCATGGACACTTAAATTATGTCCACTGTATTTTTCAGGTAATTTGGGGGTTTACAATCCACATTTACAGAGTTTTTAAGCCTAATTCAGAGTCTAATTACTAACATTTTGTATGTCACAAACATAAATGAAGATAAAGGGATTTCTTATTTCCCCACCAAAGCCATGCTCCTGGCATTGTAGGGAATGCTTTGCATTTGGGGAAATAAAATTTAAAGAGTATGTATTTTCAATTCAATGTTTCAAAAGAATATACAAACTGTGGAGAAAAGAATAATTCAACTATATATTCATTATTGAGGTTGTAATTAGTGATGGTGTGGCAGTGGACTGTATTATATCGAAATATCTTTCTAATATTCTTCCTGCTTCACGTTTGTGCAAGCAGTGGGCAAAACATTAGAAACACCTCTCCAGTCTCCACAGTCCAATTCAACACCATTAGAAACTACAACCTCAATAGTAAACATAGAAATGAATGAAAAACTGAACATTATTATCTTTGTAAAGAAGAGTTGATGGCTGAGCTGCTGTATTGGATTACATTAGATTTTAGCCACTGAGTGTATTTTCATATTTTTCTCCTGTGTTATTTTTGAACAGCAGCTGGCAGCACATTCAACACATTGTGGTGGAAATTGCAGCAAAGAAATGATTGCAGCAGCACAGCAAAGGGGGGCGCTATTTTTATTGTGCTGCACCAGAGTCAGGTCTGACTGATGGACACCATTTCTATTACCAGCTGAAGAATAATGAAATACTATAATGTGTTTTCATACCTTTTTAAACTGCTCTGGTAATTGTCTGGACCTGATTCCTAATATGTAATGCTGTGTCCTGGATTAATTTGTTAGTTGCATTCAAATAGAAATCAAAAAAAGTCTGTTCTAGAGCACAGAGACATCTGTGCCTTTGTGAACCCTAAAAAAAAAAGAGAGAGAGAGAAAAAAATGTCAGAAAAGAGGGAACACAACATCTGATGAAAGTGATTTGTAGTTCTGTCTGTAAGGATTAATCCCTCATTCAGGTAGTAAGATGTTAGGTGAAGTTTAAATCAGTCTGATGGACTAGTTCTTAAACAGGCCAGCGGATTGTGTTTTATAACAAATCTAGCAGCTTCTCCAACTTCATTGGAAAATGGTTTAGGTGGAAAGGTTAACAGTGCCTTCTTTTGGTCTTTTTGTGGTTTTAAAGATTCACACAGCACTACTCACCTCCTCCGCTTCATCAAATGAAACTGAATTCGATGATTAAAAATCTGATTTTTGTGATAAATGGAACAAAATCAGTGACGCCTAAGACCAATGAAATCATATAAATGAACAGTACCATACAGTGATCTTTGTTTAGGTGTACAGTTAGTAAATTATTTTCCGGTGCACGTTGCTGATATTGCATATTGTGGGACCTAAAGCTTTTTTTGTGAGTGATAAATAAATCCATGTGACAACATTACTGTATGTCTGTAGTTATCCCATGAGGGTGTTAAAATCATTCTACACATTAAGTTCATGACAAACACAGTTTCATGTGTGATAAACTGACTGAAGCATATGGAACAGTTTCAGAATAACTATTTTAACAAAACACATGGGGCATACAGTAACATGGAACATGTCTATCAGACGTTTCATTTGAAAAGAGGGTACTTGGCTGAAGTGCAGGTAGAGAGTATGCACAGGAATTTTACATGTGTGTTTTTCTGGCGTGGCTTCCACCTGCGATCACATTTGATCTGGGTGTAAAATGACAGTTTCTAGATGTTGCTAAGCGCATGTCACAAATCTTCTGTAGTATTCAGGTGAAATTAACACAAGAGTTGCCCGTGATGTCGAGTCTTGTGCTTGTGAATGCGCACCTGGTCAGTGCAATGACGTATATTGAAGAGAAAGTGATCGCGCACTAAGATCTAATGATTCTGATATTGACGTCACGACCGCTTGGTTTTTCTCCAGGCAAATTCAAAACACGTGTCAGATACAGCCTTAGATATTTACTGTGTACATCCCACACATGGTGGTAATCTGCATCTCATCAACAAGTAACAAGGACACTCCTGAGTTCATCATAACCACTGAACATTAGAAAAAGTGAATCAACATCAACATATCTATCTGTATAAAGGCTTTATGGTGTCTCATGTTTCAAGCCTTGAACTTGCCTTCAGAAAGACCAAGTGTGGGCTAAACATTGGTGAGAAAACCATTAACATGTGGCCAGGCCCACACACACAGTACATCTCCACCAAAGTTACAGGGGATACAAATAACAAGACAGTTCATCCTACAAGGTTTTGCTGCCTGCAAACATTATAGAGAGTGATGACTGAATGTACTAAATAAAGCACAGAGTGTGAAATCCTAATCTGGGCAGTTCATGATAAGGAGACTCCAAGCTTGAAGTGCTGACGCCAAGACACAGATTGTTTTGGGCAATACACAGAATAGTTAGTGATGGAAAGAGCCACAAATAACAAGCAGCAATAAAGAAAACAGGATAGTGCTGACAGATACATGAGGTTACATACATTTATTTTATGAAATGCCATTTTACAGCTCCATGATTTGTGACCATTGATGGGAATGATATAAGTCAAACAAATTAAGTGACAGAAAAGTATAGTTTCTGTTGCACATAGTGCCAGACATAGACTGTATATCATGGGCTGTATATGCAGTTTATGGCAGCATAATGTCAGCATTGCGGGAACTCTGAAAAGTGACATTTATCACTTTGTCATGAGGAAATATTTTTGGCAGAATTAAACTGTTCACTTCTCTCTGTCATTTTGCATTAAGCCATATAGAATCGCTGTATGGTTTAAATCAGCTCAGTGAAGCTCACACTGAATCATACAGCCGTAATGCATCCAGCTGTTAACAACCTTTCCTGAAATTAATTTACCATGTTGTCTGTGCCAGGGAAGTGTGTCATCACTTTTCCGTATGACCGAAAATGTCTTCGTCAGGGTATAAAAATGAAACACTGCAGACACAGAGAGTGTGAATGCATCAACTATGGAAATAGGTGGCCAAACAGGTTGGAGCTCATTTAGTTTTAGATTCAACAAATCCACCATTAACAAGCAAAGTATTGAGAGTCATGCGCAGTGACTTCTCTTCACCGCTGAAGTTTGTATAGGTTCAAGGGCTGATCACAAGATGTGAGGATGTAAAATTAGAAACAGTCAATTCAGCCCCTTGTAGCATGTGGTATGTTGTCTTCAAGGGGTGATGCAGATTAGCTTTCACATCACTGCTAAAGTTTTTCCTCCTTTGTTTGTTGTAATTTGAAAAAAAGATTTTGCAGCTTAGTTGAGTGAACTGCTGTATGGACCTGTAAAGTATTGTATTTATTTATCATATGTCTCAAGCAGAGTCCTGCACACTGTAAATGCACACTCTTACTATATTTGAAGTGATTAATGAGCTGTCAGAGACTTTAATGTAAGACTGTTTTTATCCATTTTGTGTAGCTGAGGACACCAGGATGGACAGAAGACTAATGCAGCTTATAACAATTGTAAGCAATGACACTGACACTACGTGACCAGGCGTGTTTTAATATACAGTTATATTAAAACGAGAACCAACTTCTGTAATCCATTAGTCCTGCCTAAATACATTATGCACATATCTAAAATACTGTTCTTCGTGCTACAGGTGTAGGCTACAAATAAAGTGTCCAACGTATAGATTCCTACATGAATTTGCTGCAGATTATGACACAGTGCACCACTATTGTTTCTTCAGCGTGCACACCATCCAACATGTTTGCACGGTGATGCATATAAAGACCAGCCTGTGCATTCTCCGTTTTCTCTCAACTACAGTGAGCAACTCCAAGGCTGGATCGCATCCTTGAATCATCCCCCTTCCAGTTGTCCTGACTGGGCGGGGTGAGCGCGTGTGCCATCCTGGCTCCTATGGCAACCCGATAGATTAGCTCCATCAATATTCACGTTATTGGAAAGGCGCGGGAGGCTGATGGATCAGTGATGTCAGAGGTCTTTGGATGCCG